CCTTGGGTACGGGCAAACCGTTATATATAATTCATTATATGTTATCGGTCTTATTTAGAGCTACTGAATGCTGGAAAGAGCCTGAATTAAGGCCTATTCAAACTTAGTGCTAGCGCAAACATGATCCCAACACCAGATCAAACATTTGCACTATTAATTTCCAAAAAAGTGAAACACATTTCAACTGGAGTGAATTTCATCACAGATGTTTCATGTCATCAAATTCACTTTGCTTTCATGTTAGCCCAAAGGCAGGCCCGTCGTCAAGGGTGGGGGGGCCACCCCCCTCCCACCCAGCAAGCAGCCCCCTCCCCCATCGACAAAAACCATAAGCATCAAAATTATCAATAGTTTTTGTGATGTGTCCCCTAGAGCTGGTGTATGGTTCCCCTAATTCCCAAAGCTGGCAACGGCTGCCTGAGGGGTAATGAACTGGCTTTCCAGTATGTTTTTGTTTAGCCTATAGCAAATTGCAAAGAATAACAGTATCAGGAAGGAATACGGGCGATTCACAAAAGTGCGTCACCGAAAGTTTGCAACACGTTGGCCAATCATAGCGCACCAAATTTGTCGACCCTTTCCAAAAGCGCATTGGGTCGACAAATTTTGCGAATTGTAATTGGCCAACGCGTTGGAAACTCTTGGTGGCGTACTACTGTGAAACGGCCGTTTTAAGTTCTGGTACCTGTAGTCCATGGCCGTGAGAAAATGACAGGTGCATTCAAGCTTTGGTTCATGATCAGGAGACTCAGAGGTTTATTGTTTTGGAGTTCCAATACTTGCACAGTCTATATTGTGTCACCATCTTCTTTGGTCAAGAATTTAGAGTATTACTTTTTTCTGTGTTTTCACTTGGTATCATGTTCAGAGTTGTACATATAGCATAGTATCATATTTCCTTGTTCATTTGCCATAGTCACATTCATCAAGTTTCACAGGTCAGATATTCATGCTGTGAATTTGCAAAAGTTGAACACAGTTATCAACTCAAGTGCATTTGCTGCAGATGTTTTGCATTAAGAAAATTGCTTCACTTATAAGCATAAACTGGTCTCCTCTAGTAATTCTCTTAGTAGCTGAATGAAAGCCAAACCTTACTTCTTTTCTTTCATTTTGGTCTTGTCCCTCTGTATTTGTATTTATGAGACTTGAAATATTTGAAATGTTGAACATCTGGAGTTGTGTGCTTGGACAAGTTTACAAAATTTTGATTGATCATGTGCCATTACACACTAGACTTCTCACCAGAACAATCCCATTTGTGCAGTTTTCCTGTCTTGCCTTAAAAATGCCTTGCGTTTTTCTTCAAATTTTTCTAGTTTCTGTCCTAAAATTCCACTCCATATTCAAAATTTGTTAATTATTAACTGTAATTTCTCAGTTTTCACTTGTGAATCATCGACCTTATGATTGAAGATATGTAGTTCAGGGTGTAGTTTGGGTTATATAAGCTTGATCATTGCAAAAGTAAAGGTCACAAAAACAGGTGTTTCTCTTTTCACTTACTCCTTCTGATCTTTCTAAATCAGTGTATCATCCCTTTTTTGTCCAAGGACAAAAGCCCACACAAGTCTCATGGCTGTAATGTTACAGCTTCCACCAATTTCTATATGGGAATTCTTTGGATTTTGTAAGGATGCACATTCGCCAGCCCCCCTTCTCTTGGCATGCACATGCACACAGCCGTGCGTGCAAAATACAATCCTCAAAGCACAAGTACATGTATAGTGGAACCTCGAACAATGCATTATCCAAAGTGATAAACCCGATATCAATTGAACAATCTCCGTTTAACTTGCGTCTATCACACAAAAATTACGCATCCCCACTGGATACACATATATGCAGTTACAAATGAGATAGTAGCGCTGACCCAAACAGCTGTGATGCCCATGAATGAACCTTGAAACCTTCTGCGGCACATTTGTTGTACATTGTTAACTTAATTTCAAGTGAGAATTTTCATTCCCAAGAAATGAAGATTTTTTTTACTAGACTGGAAAAGACTTGCTCTTTTGATGTCAGTAGCTGACACTTTGGAAAACACTATTTCTGAAACACTAAAGCAGCTATAGCAGTAAAATGTCATTCGTCATAAATCAGGTGGTGAACATACATGTACATGTATGAGAACAGAGGTGCATATTAACTGAGTGCTAGCTTGTTATTCATATCATCTTGGATGACATCATCATGAATTCCCCTCAATCGGTTATATGTGACTATTCTATGGAAACTTGTACCAAGTTTCAGCCTGGTAATTGCAAATATTTCTGTTTTGGGGGGTATTCCATTGATGTCTAATTTTAAGGTTGTAAAGGTTTCCAGGTGTTTACATTTTTTTTTAAATTGAAACTATAGATAAATTTTTACTAGTTGTGCATTGCTATCAGAGCAAGTATGGTCAAAAGACAGGAAAAAGAAGACCTGAAAAGGCATATGATAAATTTTATTCTGGCATATTTTAGTGGTCTTTGCAGAGGGCTCCATTATTAAGTTCCTCAAAAGAGGAAACAACCATGTATGTTTTGGTTTAGGCAAAAAAGGTTTTATACCTGTACATCACCAAGAACTTTATTCCATTTTCAGTATTTGCTTCAGCTGATACCAGCCCCGTTTGCCCTTTTTTTGTAAGATGCCCACCTGAAAAACTTGTTCTGGGTATGCTCATAATCATCCATAATTCGGTTCAGACAAAGCTAGTAACCAGTGAAGACTGGTGGACCAGGACTAGAGGTGCACTAAACCAATTTATTCCCAAGATTTGTTTTAAACACCAAATTATTCCCAAGATTTGTTTTAAACTCATGAACAGTTTGACATACATTGTATGAAACTGTTTGGACCATTTACCCATGTAGGACGTCAAAGATTGACCATTGGATTCATCAGAATGAGACACGTGCCTTTGTGTCTGACAGGGCTTTTTCCTGTGACTTTTGAAATGTCACTTTATTTCATATAGATTTTACATTTCCAATTTGTATTTCCAACACCAGTATGTATATTTTGCATTCGTAATTTGAATAGATTGCAATTTTTCGTTGTTTTACATGGATTTTTTTTTTCTGTTTAAATTTCTTTTGCTGCACAGTCTTATTTGAGTAAACCTACACATTTTTTTTTCTTGAGTTGTTCCATGTCTCGTCTCATAGTTTTGTATCCATAGTATTAAGGCGGAATTACCAAATTACCCCTGGACTGTAATTTTCCCCCATGGTCACTCAGTGAGTGTACTACTCCTTCAGGAAAAACCTGTGATGGGGGAAGAGGGGAGTAAACTTGTTAGGCAGAATTGTCAGTACAATTACACAGGGCAAACCAGACGGTTCCCTTGCCAACCTCTGCAGGGACAGTCAGGGTAAACTTTGGACATGACGAGAACAGACGGGACAAAGTAACTATGTTGCACTTTCTTTTATCTACTGTACAACCATCTAAGGAAGTTTGAGTCAGCAGGTAGCCCCTAACTCATGTAGTACCCTCAAGGATTATAGAATTTCAGTGGGATAACCTCTACAATGACAAATGCCAGCCTTAAAGCTTCCTGCTACCTGCACGCCTCCTGGTTTTGATCCTCCCATTTGGTAGCCTCCAGGCTATGAGTACCCTTCACAAGCATAACCAAACCACTTTGGACCAAAATTTATCCCTAATTCTCCCCCCCCATATCCCACAGTGTTCAGTGTCCCACGCCAGTACTGACAACAGTGGCCCACACTCAAATCCACAGAGCACTTTCTGTAGCCTCGTATTACCTGAGCGCAGCACTCTCCAGCACTCCCATCTTGGACGAGATCCAAAACTGCCCTGACAGATGTGCTGCATCACAGTATCTATGTCCTGTTCTAAAGTCCCTGTAATATTTGCACATTTTACGTTTAAATGTACATGTGCACCACATAAATGGCAATTTATTTAGTTTTACTTACTTGTTTTACATTGTGTTTTGTTCTTTACTTAAGATTAGCTACATAAAGTTCCTTATAACTTGCAGTTTTATGATATTTTTGTTTGCAATGTTTTAAAACGTAATGGATTGTAATTAGGCCTCATTAACCTTCTTTATGATCCGTGACAGAAATGCAAAAAGATGACTTGGCCTCTGGTCAAATTGAAGGAAATGCTATCCTGATGATAACCAGGAAATAACGCATGGGTTGGTGCAACCCTTGCTTTTTCTTTCAATGGTACTTCCTTGAGGAAACTCCCTGGAAAAGGCCAGTTCTGAAAGTGGATTTGGGTTGGTTGGTAAATGTAATGTAGGTGGACTAGCGATTGTGGGGACCTTCCTCAGTTTGAGGTCTGACTTTTGTTCGGGAAGCTAGTGGTGTTAATTTTTTCTCACTGTTTTTAAAATTTTGTGCACAGTTACATTCTGGTTGGGTAAGTAAAATTTGGCGTTTGTTTTTTAAGTTGGGTCCTACATATACTTGTTCGAGTTGTTCATGTCATTCGAAATTGCTTACTTTTTTATTTTGGAAAAATAGCATTGTTAGTTCATTCATTCATCGTCAATTTGAAGCTGTATTTTTCTTTGTTTCTTTTGGAAGTATTTTGTTAATTTTGTTAAAAGATTGTTAGTTCTGCTCAGTTGCAGTGTGAGGTAACTGAGGTCAAATGTGTTGATCTAATGTCTGGTGAGCCAGAAGAAAAACAACATTGAATTGAAGTATTTTTATTATATTGTTTCATTTTCCACTTTCGTAGAACTCGTGTCAAGCAGGAAAGGCGAAGGAGCATCTGAAGACACAGAGGGAGCAGGTAGAACTATTCTTTTACTTTGAGCTGATCTGAAGAAATTTCAAGTTTTTCTCAGTCAGGTGCTAAAGAGCAGTGGAATTGGATTGGCAGAAATACAGCGATAAATAGAAATTAGAAATGGCAAATAAATGTGCTTGAAGGCTGGCTTTTCAAAGAAGAAATTGACAGAGTCAGGATCCAAGTGTTCATGCTCACTGATCTTTTGACTCAATTTCTGCTTAACATTTAATCAAGTTAATGCTCCCTAATCAGTAGTTTCCAGGATTCGGAGGAGTAACGAATGATAAGGGAATGAAGGTGGAAATTAATTGGCAGGACACTTATCTGTGGCAGGTTGTGTCTTTAAGTTTACCTCTCTGAGAGCCACCAATGGACGTATTATATGAGCGCTCTGATTAGGATGCACATGACTCAAGTGTGCAAATCCATTGCATCTTTGCCAAATAAAGCACACCTTAGTTTGGTTTTGCAGTTGCAACAAATCAAATGTTCATCAATAATTCTGTTGATTGTGTTTTCTTGCAAGGAGTCCTTTGAGGATACCCTATTTTGAATGGTGCACTGACGTGTTCAAGAAATCTTTACTGCATAAGTTGGTCTTATTTTGATGAACAGGTTTCTGAGTAAATTTCTCATTCTTACTGAAAAGTCAATTTGAAAATCGCGCAGTGCATTTTAATGGATGTTTTACTTGTCTCCCTGTTCAAATGACTGTACCCTTCCCAGTACACGTGCTGCAGGTGTTTCACTAGTCTGGATATCGAGACATCCTGTTTGACTTATGAACGGATATTCCTGAGTCAGGTTGTTTATCTGTTAGCCTAAAACAAACATGCCTTGTGGTTCTAGATGATTCTGCAAAATGAATACTTACAGTTAGAGTGTAATTTCTTTTTTAAAGGGGAATTGAGCGGGAAGGAAGAGTTTATGCTGGCATGAAGTGCTGCTTACAACATTTATAATAATGATCATGTGTACCCACGATCACACACACCAACCACTCGCGTTAAATTAAGGCCATGTACTGTTATTGCAAAGTGGGCACATGAAACATTCCAAAAGACTCTATGACTATGACAATGGACGTTCATTTTTAGTGCACTGTGTTTCTGTTGTTAGACGTTTGCAGTGAGATCACCTTAGCTGGAAATGAAACTGCTGTAATTCTCAAATTAAACTCTCAATTTGTGCTAAAATTCTGATGTAATGCAAACACTTATGTCCTCACATGTACTCGTTTATTATTGGACAGGAAAGGGCAATCGTCAGAACCAAGTACAGTGTATGTCTTTTAATTTTGCCAAAATCTTGAAATTCTGAAAAGATACCGTCTTGGCACACACTTATTGTGTTTTGCAGGAGGATCTATCGAGATGGTGAGGTTCTCAAGTAAGGATGGATCCGACGAGGAGCGGGCAACCATTAAAATCTCTGGCCAGAACAAATACCAGGCGCTGAGCAGCAAGAGCCAAGAGGAAAAATGCGTGCTGAGGGTGACGGGGATGACCTGTGCCTCCTGCGTGGCTACCATCGAGAAAACCCTGGTCAAGCATCGAGGTAGGACCCTCTGGCAGGGGCCGCATAGATTAGGCTGGCGACAGTGGGACCTGATTAAGTGTTTTCCCTATCTTCAAGTTTTCCATAGGCTCTACTGGCACCAGTG